GACAAAATATTTGAACAAAAATTTCTTCAAGAACATACACAAATGGTTAATAAGCACACAAAACCAAGCTCATTGTACATAATTAGCTTGGCTACCTGAATAGAAGAGATAATAACAAGTGCTGGCAAACAGAAACTGGAACCTCGATGTTGTGGTGGGGCTGTAACACGGTACAGCTACATGGTAGTTCCTTAGCTAAACATGGAGCTATCACGTCAACCAGCAATTCCACTTTCAGGAAATATACACGAGAAGATGGATGTGAGCGCAGACAAAAGCACAGCTCTCGGGTATTTCAGCATCAGTCAGTCCTGACAGCCAAGGATGGAAACAGCTCAAATGTTCATCAACCAATGAATGGATAGACAAAATGTGGTGTGTCGACACAAGCATATTACCATGTCACAAGCAACATGGTGTGTCACAGCATGGATAAATCCTGACAACGAGACATTTACGGAAGAAGCCAATCACAAAGACCAGATATGTTTTGGATTGATTTATGAAAAGTGTCCAGAGCAGGCAAGCTATGGACAGATAGTGGTTGCCTATTGTCGAGGGCTACTAGGAGATTGGAGGGGACGGACACAACAGTTGAAAAGTAGTTTTCTGGGGGAAAAAATCCCTGAAGTGTACACTTCAGATGGGTGAGTTTTATGGTACGGATTTATGTCGATAAAGCTGCTACCCCAAAGAAAGAGATGTTACACAGGGGACATGGAGGACTTGCAGCAAAGCATCATGGGTCCAAAGATTTAAGTCTTATAATCCGCAAGCAAGTTCTTCTCTGTGTGCTGTAACTTCATCTTCTATAAAACAAGAATAACGAGGCAGACTCTGAGAGTAAACAACTGTGACTACAGTGTTTAGGAGCTGAGACAGGAGGCTTACAAAGTGGGAGACCATAGTGCGACTTTGTTTCTGAAACAAAAGGGCAGGCGGGGGTGGCGGTGGTATGAGGATACAACGAAATCATTAAGGCATGGTGAGGAGGAAATGGAGGGATAAAATCATAAATAGCTTAAGATCGTTTCTGGCACACGGATGACTGGAAGGCTACAGCCCACTATTCAACAGAGGTCTTAAAAAGATGGTTTCAAAGCCGGCAAAACAAACGAAGGCTCACGCCACACACCCCACCAAGTGATTCCAGGTCAAATATTGCAACAAATCCAACTTTCAGGACCTGGACCCTGAGTTTAACCAAAGTGCACACTGTCGAGCGTGAAGCCATTCCTACAGACCAACACTATGCTAGAGAACCACACACGACTGTGAAGGGCTGCAGGAACACAGTGACAGCCAAAGTACATTCTAGCGAACGGATCGGCCCAGATGCTAAACTGACAGCTAATCTAAGGGACTCAGCAAGAAACGATGCTTAGTGTTGAGCTCCGCGAGCGGCACTCAGGCTCAAAGCCAGAACTGACATCACCCTCAGCACCATAGGTGATGCTTGCTACTTCTGTTCCTTATCACTGAGTGGGCCAGAGCGGTTTTCCTGGCTGAAAGCAGAGTGCAGGTTGCTTCCTATAATCACAAGCCCTGCGACCCAGAGAAGGGAAGAAGGCGCGCAAGGTCACACAGCCTGAACGATCCGAATCAGAGACGAGGATAGGGGGGACAAGCAACTTCTCGCGTCGTTCGACCAGGAACCTCGCACACCCGCGAGAAAGCACCCTGCTCGCAAGCCCTCACAGTCTAGGTCCCAGCGCTCACCTGCCGGTAAGCTACACAGTGCAGGGAAACAGCCTGCAACTCGTAGGGCCGCCGCCATGCTGGAGCCACGCAGCGACGCTGTATGGGTCTGGGATCGCCTTCCCCACTGCCTGCCGCAACAGGCTGTGACCGCGCCTCGTCAGACGTTCGTCCTAGGCGCAAAGCGAGGTGCTGATATTCGGGGGTCACCGTTCAGCGCACACGGAGGTCGAGAAATTGTCCACACGGAAGAAAAAGTAAAATTGATTCAGGCTCAGCCACGGACAGCTTCCAATGGGTCCTCGCACTAGGACCGCAGGCAGAGGCGGGTAGAGGGCGGAACTAACTCTGGATTTTTTTTTTTTTTTTTTTTTTTTTTGAGACAGGGTTTCTCCGTAGCTTTTTGGTTCCTGTCCTGGAACTAGCTCTTGTAGACCAGGCTGGCCTCGAACTTACAGAGATCCACCTGCCTCTGCCTCCCGAGTGCTGGGATTAAAGGCGTGCGCCACCACCGCCCGGCAAATCTTTGGAAAGCTCTTTCTGCTGAGGAAGGAAACAGTCTGGAAACAGCAGGACAGATCCAGGGAGTGAAGGAGACAAAGTTTAGGAAGTTCGTACATCACTCCAGAAAAGACCTAAAGTTTATTAAACCTTACGTTGCCTTTGATTTCAGACCCATTTTGTATTCGTGGAAGAGGTTGTTCACACACACAGGACCAGCCCTAGGCCATGGTTTTTTATCTCTCCTGGTCATGGCTTTACACTATCCCTGCTTGCCCAAATGAACCACATATGATGGTCCTGGACTCTTCCTCTGAAAGGTGAGCCTCCGGCAAACTGTTTCTAGCCTGCCCTGGGCACAGTATTTTGCCAAAGCAATAGAGTAATGCAGGCTTTCGACATTAACGTCTTCAGTTATCCTCCAAGGCTTCTGCCTTTCCTGAGGGGAATGGCTGTTACGCACGTATTGGCCACCTAATGTCTTGGTGATGATTTGAAACACCCAGAGATCCTGGGAGAGTCCAAATGGCGGCTGATTGCTTGTGAGAGTGCCTTGGCTGCTTCTCAGGCATTTTCGGCATGGACTGGGAAAAGGCTTCAGTTCGTTCAGTGACGGTATCCATGAAGACCAAGAGGCATTTGAAGATTTGACAGGTGGGGAGCTCAAGGAACTACACCTTCCAAATCTGTCTCAGTGAAGAGGCCATGTCTGTGGGTGGTTACAAAAAGAGATCTTTCTGAAGCACATGGAGCCCCGGGGAACTCAGGAAAAGACTGACAGAGCCCCTTTCCTGAGAATAGGTGATTGTGTGTTTCTCCTAACCTTGTCTGACTGGCGAATCATGGAGCTACTTTACAAGTTTCTATTAAGTACTTAGAGGACATAGTTGGGGTTTTCTGTGTCAGGGACCATTGTTCTAAAGATGATACCAGGGACCATTGTCCTACGGATGTTTGCAGAGAACCTGACACCCCAACTTTCTTGAGAACTATTTGTTAACGGAACCCGCCCCATATTCCAAACTATCTTGAGAATTATTTGTTAACGGAACCCGCCCCACATTCCAACTGTTTGTTGATGGAATCACAAAAGGAAAGTTTCTGCTTGCACAGAGAACACTAGGTGTGCTGACTGGTGACCTTTGCTACCCAGGCAAAGTTCCTTCTTACCCCTACCCCCCACCCCAAGCCAAATTCCTTATTCAAGGGCTATATAAGCCACAACTATTACCCTAATAAAGGAGATCTTGACAAGTGAATTTTGCTTGGTCTTCTTTTCTCACCCCCATGATTCATACAGGTAAAACCTCTTCAGACCCTGAATAACTGGACCTGCTGGACGGGTCATTTCTGTGTGCGGCCATCCTTCGGAATGACAGAGAAATCCTTTCTCCACTGCCTTGGGGATAGACCGACGCTTACAGGGTATCCATCAGGCTGACAGAGGCGAAAGGAGTCAACAAAAATTAGGCAGCAGGGCTTTAAGCTTGGCAGTCTAGTGACCAATTTATTCCCTCCGTTGACAAATGATTCATCCCTTTGGTGTCCCCTGTAGCAGATATGGAGACACTGGAGAGGTTTCGAGTGTGGGGCATGACAGACAAAATCTGCGGTCAATAGTGGATGGAACTTCTCTTGGAGTCCAGTAAATCTCTTTCCTTCCAGAGAGCAGAATGAACATGTAACACCAGGAAGGTACGTATTTGCTCAGGAGAAGAAGTTACTTCTTTGACAATTCTATGTTCTACTTAAGAAATACTTCTATACTATTGACTTGATAGCTAAAGAGATCAAATTTTTAGGAAGGAGTGTCCATGGTGGTGTGAGATCAAGGAGTCACTGTCAGTCCCTGGAGAGACTGGGGTCGTCTTGCGCTTCAGAGTGCGGTCATTTGGATAGGTATGATATGGACCATTTGTCACCATCCAATGGTCAAATGAGGACTGTTATTGATCCTGCTTTTCGACCATGTAATTGAAGGAGCCTGTCTGTCGTGGGAAGCCCCAGTGCTGGGGCTTTCTTAAGGCTGTCATACGATGGTTTCTTGGTTCCTTGATTACAAGGGGTATGGATTTGGGACTCATTTCGCTTCTCAGAGATTTGACCTGGCTATTTTATTCAGTGCTGCAGATCATATTCTGCAGTACCCTGTTAGCTCCAGAAAAGCCCTAACATGTCTCTTATTTCAGAGAGGAGGTAAATCCAAATATCCTGGGGCCAAATGAAGATCCAGTAATTGACTTATGCGTCTCAAAGGTTGAGTCTTTCCCTAGAATCTTTGCATCCTTTTTGAGCTACAAAGTTTAAAGTGTTTACAGCCTGTTGTTTGCCTGGTGTCCTCTGAAGCAGTAGAAAGGAGGAGGTCATCCTCATACAGCATTATGGTTACAGAACTAAGTGGACTGCCCCAAGGTGCCACCCAAATCCAGAGTCTGACCAAAAGAGTGAGAACTAAGAATTCTCGAATAAAAACAGCAACAGGTATGTCGCTGAGCTCATGCATCGATCTGGGATAGTCCACTGAAAGGTGACCAAGAACTGGGAACCCTGACTTTCAGAAAAGACGGGCATACTGGCAAACCAGACACCGGATTTATGCTTTCTTAGGGCCCTCCTCCCAGCTGCACTGCTGAAGTCCGCCTTAGAGGGACAGCTGGTCTCCAGGTTTAGGGGCACACGCACAGGCAGCCAGGTCCCATGGCTTCAGCACCACGGATCTGGAGTGCAAGCTTGGGTAGTTTCGTTTTGTTTCCAACGCGTCATCTTGAGGGCGCCGGCTGTCGAGACTTCTGGGAAATGGAGTCCCTGCGAAGGTGGCGCATAGATTCGGGGCCCACAGGCAGAAGATCATCACGCAGGCGCACTGCCTTCCCGATCCCAGGCGGTGTGGACTTACCCGGTACCCAGCCTGCTTGCTGAAGGTGAGGATGTGGGTCTAGGGTTTTCAGATGCCTAGCGGACGCAGCTGCGGAGAAAATGGAACCCTAGGGACTCGGGGAAGGATTCGTGGGCGTGACATGATGTGGCTAGCTTGCTCGTGATTCGTCCCGCCCAGTGTGCTTAGGTTCCTTAGGGCACAAATGCCGCTCCAGGTGTCCTTGTGGGTATGTCCACTGTGTGTCAGAGTCCTGTACTTTCAAGTTGGAGGTCCCTGTCTGCGCCCTGTCTTCCTCCAGTTCCTTCTTTCCGTAATGGGTGCTTCAGTCGTAGGTGGTACCGACCCTGAATCTAGGGGTGTCCAATCCACTCTCACCAGCAGCAGTCCTACCTAGGCTTCTTGAGTGCTGAGATTGCAATGAGTACTAGATACAAACTTAGACTCTGCATTGTGAGAAGGTGAGATGGATTTAGCTAACTTATGCAGAGGAAGTTAGAAGACACAGTAAGTCTCCTGGAAACTCAAGGATTTTAAGTAAAGCTGCAGTGTGTGGGAACTGGAACTCACTTCATCTAGAAACACTGTGAGCACCAGTGTTTCACCACTAAAGTGAGCTATATACATTGTTCCGTCTCCTGGTACCTCTGTTTCCTGGTCCCGGAGGCTACCTCAGTATCTCCTGATATCTTCTTGACTCATCACTTGTATGTTGTCCTGACACTTTAAAATTCTTGTTTACTAAGAAGAATGTCGTCTTTTCATACAAGATCATTTCTGCCAAAGTTTTCTCAACTGGATACTAACTTAGACATACTTGGGGAAAGAGAATCTCAATTGAATTCCCACCATCAGACCGGTCTGTGAGCATGTGTGTGTGAGTGTATTCTTTCTCTCTGTCTCTGTCTCTCCTCTCTCTCTCTTCAAGACAGGGTTTCCTCTCTGTAGCCTTGGCTGTCCTGGAACTCACTATGTAACCCAGAGTGGCCTCGAACTCTGCAAACTCAAGAGATCTGCTTGCCGCCGACTCCCAAGTGATGGGATTAAAGGTGTGTGCCACCATCCCCCAGAGTATGGGGCATTTTCTTCATTATCCATTAGTACTGAAGGACCTAGCCCACTGTGGATGTTGTCATCCCTCGGAAAGTAGATCTGGGCTGTATAAGAAAGTAGCTGGACAAGCCAGTAAGCAGTGTTCTTCTGCGGTCTCTGATTTGGTTTCTGCCTCCTGGTTCCTGCCTAGGTTTCCCTTGGTCATTTGTAAAGTTGTTTATGCTCTAAGGTCATTAATCTTGCTGTGTTTTGACTCCTGGGAACAGAGCTCTGCCCTGAAGATAAGGTTACAGCAGACACTGCTGTGCTTTCGATACTCATGGCTTTTGCTCTAAAACTGGAAGGAGTACAGAGTGCTCTTGTACTTCCCCTTTTTTTTTTTTTTTCTCTTTTGGTGGTGTTGGGAATGAAGGTGACTACATCTCTCACTGATACATGGAGAGGCCTTGCCACGTGGGTCAGAAGACCACAGGACTGGTCTTTCTCATACCTCTCTCCTTCCACACCTTTTCCTCACTAGAATCCTGTTCTTATCTCCCCGGACAACCATAGGAGGGAATGGCTGCAGTGTCTCCACCTACAGATGCCAGGTGAGGTGGACATTTCTATTTCTGAAATACTGTTATTAGTTTCCAAAATGTAGGCACTTCTTTCTTTATTGTGAGGGTCTTCCTTTAAGACCTTCCACCCCTAGGCTAATGAAAAGCTCCAAGGTAAGATGACCTTTAGCACTTTGAGCCCACGAGCTTCCCAAAAGCTGACAGAGCAGGGCTGCCTAGAGGAGTCTAGCATCAGTGGTTCCGTCCTAACTGTGCCTCTGGCAGCCAGTTGTGGGCTGAGAGTCAGTCCCTGTACGCCAAGGAGTGTTGGGTTAGGCTGGAGTCCAATGGTGTGCTATAAAACACCCAGAGCCTGCCCTGGGGGAGGCGAAACAGACCAGGAAGGCAAGGCTTGTAAGGGAGTGTGGTTGTGTTTGCAGCCTTTTGTGACATTTGAAGATGTGGCCGTGACTTTCACGGATGAAGAGTGGAGGCATCTGCTTCCTGTGCAGAGGGCGCTCTACAAGACTGTGATGCTGGAAAACTATGAGAACATCATCTCACTGGGTAAGGAGTCAGAACTTGTCCCAAAACGTGTGGGTCACAAGGGCAGGGGATGGCCACCTCTTTGACCCCCACCTGAGTTCAGAACCACGTGACAGACGAAAGGGCCAAAGGAGGTGGCTTTAGGTGCTTAGCTGGTGACCCCAGCCCTGGACAGCTGGAATGCCCTGATGTTAACGGCACTGGGAAACCACAGGTCTCCTTGTTCAGCAGCTTGCTTCCACCTGACAAGGCAGTCTGCAGGACAGGGCAGAGCACGTGTGTTGTGGGTAGGGATCTGTCTCCCCAGAGGCAGCCAGCAGAAGAGGTAATGTGTCAGGGTCTCTTGGCACACCAACTGGTGATGACTCAGTTCCATCAGGTAGACAGGAGCCATCTTGGTGAGAGGAGATATCAGTCACTTCATGGAAGACAGAGGAGGACAAAGAAGTGCCCCTGTGGAAAGGAAAAGGTCATCAGAGATGTGCTTGATTTTGAATGTTTGTCTTTTTGTTTTAAATATTTATTTATTTATTATGTATACAGTATTCTGCCTGCAGGCCAGAAGAGGGCACCAGACATCATTACAGATGGTTGTGACCCACCATGTGGTTACTGGGAATTGAACTCAGGACCTTTGGAAGAGCAGGCAATGCTCTTAACCACTGAGCCATCTCTCCAGCCCCCTTGAATGTTTGTCTTAATGACAACCTTAGATACCTATAAAAGGCATTTTGTAATCAGACTTATTTGACAGGTGTGATGTGCGAATTGCACTCCTGGATTTTTGCGGGACCCACCACCAAGCTCCCAAATAAATCACACACAGAGGCTTATTCTTAGTTATGAATGCCCGGCCTTAGCTTGTTTCTTGCCAGATTTCCTTAACTTAAATTATCCCAACTACTTTCTGCCTCTGGGATTTTATCTTTTCCTTACTTCTGTGCATCTTACTTTCCGTCTTACTCCATGACTGCCTGGGTGGCTAGCTCCTGATGTCCTCCTCTCCTTGTTCTCTTCTCCATTTCCTCATTTCTCCTTCTATTTATACACTCTGTCTGCCAGCCCCTTGCCTTGCTATTGACTGTTCAGCTCTTTATTAAGCCATCAGGTGTTTTAGACACACAGCTTCACAGAGTTAAACAAAAGTCACACACCTGAAAATAATCTTCCCCAACAGGGAAAGTAAGAGCTTTTGTTCATGTCAGCTCTTAATGAAGTAAAGCAAAGTCCTTACAGGTAATAAGGAACTCCCAAAAGCTTCCAGAATAAGAGGCTGAGGCCAAGCACAGTGGTTTGTACTTGTAGTCTTGGCCACTCTAGAAGCAGGAGCACACAGATGCAAAAGCCAGTAACAGTCACATTCATGTTGCAGGTTTGTATTGAAAAGCCAACATTGGGCTGAGGATGTAGCTAAGTGGTAGAGTATTTTCTAGCATCTGTAAGATCTTTATTTTAATACATGGACACACACGCACACATCAGCACCTTCTGGATTAGCTTAATCAGGGATATTAATTAGTTAATATCCAAACTGAAAAGATTGTTCAGTTGGCATCAAGGAAGATCCCGAGATTTTGTCAGAGGCTTTGGAGGAGAATAACCCACAGGAAGGGATAGGTGTGGTCACCTGCCAAAAGAGAACCAGCACACACCAGACTGATGTTTCTCAGGCCCAGGAAGAACAAAGATCCCTACCTCCCCTATCTCCCAAGGCAGAACCTTGTCCACAGGGATGTTAAAGCTCAGGTGTTTCCAAGAGTGGGATCTAATTTTGTTCATTTGCCTATAGATATGAGTGGCTCTAGATCCAAAGAATGCAATAGGATTGCCAGTTTATACAACATACCAGGAGATAGTTCCCATAGTATTGTGTGTTAATAGAAAACATTAAAAATAGTAAAATGTGCTGGATGGTGGTGGTACATGCCTTTAATCCCAGTACTCAAGAGGTAGAGGCAGGCCAATCCCTGTAAATTCCTGGCTAGCCTGGACTACAGAGAGTGTTCCAGGACAGGCTCCAAAGCTACAAAGAAACCCTGTCTTAAAAAATGAAAAACAACAACAAGAAAAAGGAAAATTTCTGTAGCTAGGATTTACTATATTATTTATTCATATAATGTGCTATCATATAGCCATTAAACCATTGTAGAAAATCTGTGCTAAATAAAATTAATGTTTTATATTTACTGCATGAAATGAACTTCAGAAAAAAAAAGAACTTCAGTTTATAACTCAGTCGTGTTTCATTATCCAGCTTAGTCCTTATAACATTGCATTCTGTTTCCTGTATTTACCTGGGGGAGATGCATGTGCAATAGCATGCACGAGAAGGGCGGGGACAACTTGAGAGAGCTGGCTCTCTCCTTTAACATGTCAGTTCTAGGGTGTGAACCCAGCTTGGAGGCTTGATTCACCCAATAAGACATCTCCCCAGCCCCCATTATCCAGTCTCTGACAGAATCACATATAAGGTCCTCCCAGTATCAACATTAATTAAAGGCAGGAAATACTAGCAGGAGGCGTGAAAGGTGACTCGTTTTCGTACAGTGAGCACAACCGACTTGTTTCCATGGACACATACTAAGGATGATCAGAAAAATGACAGTGAGTTCCTTCCTTATGCTCTTTCAGTCAGGACGCTCCTTTTTCCTTCTTACCTCCTGTGCCAAAGGCCTCTACCTGCCATTGGTCCGGGATGGAAAGCTTCCCTATGCTGCCTACGAATTGAGGTGGCTTTTGTGGGCTGCTCTGGTGCCTGGTGTTTGCCCTTTCAAGAGCCCCAGTGCTGACCTTCCCCAGAGGTGTCTTTGGTCTGTATTCTGTGTTTCTGAGAGTCTACACTTAGAGGCCAGGATTGAGTTTGGAGTGGTTCAGCATTGTCATCTCAGCAGCCTCCTGCCTTATGCTTTCTCCCTGAGCAGGGCTTCCTGTTCCTCGACCTGACGTGATTCTTCCATTTCTTCAGTTGAAGAGCAGGGCTGAGCCATGGACACAGGGGCTTCATGGATGTGAGGAGAAAGAATGGCCAGACAGTGTCTCTCTAGGTAACCAAGTCTGAACAGAATGGGCAGAGTTTTGTTTGTTTCTGTTCTTGGGTGGACGAATGTTAGGGATCATCCTTGTCTCAAAGTCAAGTTGTGCGCCTGCATGTCTGTTTCCTATTGCACATCCGTTCTCTGGTTCCCCCTTCTCCACATTAAAGTAGGACTTACCTGCATTCACCAGCTTGTTTCTCAGGATTGTCACCTAGCCTGTGTACACCGCTAATATTTTTATTGGTCTCCCAGGTCTCTGCTCAGCCTACCCTATTGAAGCTATTGGCCCCACTCCCAGAGCCATTCTCCTGTTCTCTAAGAAGTCTGTTTCCACATTCCTTCCCTGCATCCTCCTTTACTCCCCAGCCGTAGGCTCTCCCAGAGTGTAAGCTCTCCGGGAAGTGATGCCCTGTGACCAAGTGTTCCATCTGTCATAGTGCCCCTCTCTTCTGTCATTGTCTCCCAGTCCAGAGAAGAAACTGCATCTGAGTTTTCTCTTTGTTGCAGACTGGGAGCCTAAGCCTAAGATCCTAGATGCTTCAGCAGGAACCCCGAGAGAGAGCCGTAGAAGACAAAGTCCTCTGTGCACTAAACTGGAAGTTCAGACACTAGCAGGTGGGTTGGAACCAGCAAAGGGAAGTCCTGCAGCAGAGACTTGCAGGAAACGTCTTTCCTTGAACAGAAGCTTGCAGCGAAGGCCAGCCCCATCCAGGAAAGCCCTCGCTAAACACCAAGACCAGGAATGTAGTGACTGCGGGAAGACCTTCTTTGACCATTCGTCACTCCTCCGTCACCAGAGGACTCACACTGGAGAGAAGCCCTATGGCTGTCCTGAGTGTGGGAAGGCCTTCAGTCACAGGAGCAGTCTCAGCAGACATCTGATGTTGCACACAGGGGAGAGCCCCTATGAGTGCAGTGCCTGCGGCAAAGCCTTCTTTGACAGGTCATCCCTCACTGTGCATCAGCGGGTGCACACAGGAGAGAGACCTTTCAAATGCAGCGAGTGTGGCAAAGCCTTCTTTGACAGGTCGTACCTTACTCGCCACCAGAGAATCCATACCGGGGAGAGTCCCTATGAATGTCAGCAGTGTGGTAAAGCCTTTAGCCAGAAGAGCATTCTCACTCGGCACCAGCTGATCCACACTGGCAGGAAACCATATAAATGCAGTGAGTGTGGCAAAGCCTTCTTTGACAAATCATCCCTTACTCGCCACCAGAGAATCCATGCCAGGGAGAGTCCCTACGAATGTCAGCAGTGTGGCAAAGCCTTTAGCCAGAAGAGCATTCTCACTCGGCACCAGCTGATCCACACTGGCAGGAAACCATATAAATGCAGTGAGTGCGGAAAAGCGTTCTATGTGGTTTCCTCCCTTAACAGACACCAGAAGGTGCATGCTGGGGAGCCACACCATCAGTGCGACCAGTGTGGCAAAGCTTTCTTCGAACGTTCTTCTCTCACAAAGCACCAGAGGACACACACTAGAGAGAAGCCATATGAGTGCAGCGAGTGTGGGAAGGCCTTCGGCCAGAAGTGCCGGCTCACACTACATCAGAGAGTTCACACAGGGGAGAAGAAACCCTTTGAGTGTAGTGTGTGTGGAAAACAGTTCAGCTTCAAGTCTTCTGTTATTCAGCATCAGAGGCGTTATGCCAAACAAGGGACAGACTGACCAAAGGAGAAGCATTAGCTACACAAAGGGCCTTCCATAAGCGTGCTAGGTCTCCATGTCCTCTACAAACCCAGCATTTGCTCCTCCTGTCTACTGTGGCTGCTGTCCTGTCCACCTCTGCTCCACAGGGTCTGAGTAATCAACATACCTAGTGTGGAGTGCAGAAGCTAAAACCCGAATCCAGATTCAAAATCGTGGGCAGAGCTGGCTGTTGCTCCTGCTCCTTGACCCCAGCACTGTAGAAGGTTGCTGGAGAGAGTGTCAGCAACAGGGTATGGCTTAGGAGGGGAGTCCAAAGACATAACTCTTTGAGAACATAGGCCTGTTGTCTCTGCACTGAACTAGATGCAGGCTATTACAGGAGGGGAATGTCACAATTATGGGAAAACACCATTTTCTCCAGAAGTTTCTATAGTTTTAGTCCCTGTGAAGCCTTTTGGCATACAGACATAGTTGTCTTGTGCCCTAGCATTTAGCCCTCCTGGTAGTAGTAGTAGTGCTAACACTTATTAAGAGCTTATCCTGGGGCAAATACTCAGCAGAGAATTGTAGCAGGGCGAGATTGACTGATCCTCTAACTAGTCCTTTTGTCTCTCACAGATGAGCACCATGAGGTTTGTTCAAGAGATTAAGGAATATATTCTAGGTGACACAAGGTGAAGCCAGGTGTCTTAGTTACTGTTCTTTTACTGTGTGGAGTCATGCTGACCAGAGCAACCTATAAAAGAATTAATTAATTAGTTAGGGGCTTGCTTCCATTTCCAGTCAGTCTGTGGCAGGGAGCATGACAACAGATAGGTAAGCATGGAGCTGGAGCAGTAGCTGAGAGCTTACACCTGATCCACAGGTAGTTGGCCTAGAGATGGGGAGACACACTGGTCTTGGCATGGGCTTTGGAAAATTCAAAGCCCATCCTCAGTAACACACCTCCTCGAACAAAGCCACACTCGGGCTGCAGAGATGGCCTAGTGGTTAAGAGCATTGGCTGTTCTTCCAGAGGTCATGAGTTTGATTCCTAGCAACCACATGGTGGCTCACAGCCTAATGAGATCTGGTGCCCTCTTCTGGTGTGCAGGCATACATGTAGGCAGAACACATTATACATAGTAAACAAATAAAACTTTAAAAAAAAAGATTTATGGGCTGGAGAGATGGCTCAATGGTTAAGAGCATTGCCTGCTCTTCCAAAGGTCCTGAGTTCAATTCCCAGCAACCACATGGTGGCTCACAACCATCTGTAATGGGGTCTGGTGCCCTCTTCTGGCGCAGTCATACACACAGACAGAATATTGTATACATAATGAATAAATAAATATTTAAAAATAAATAAATAAATAAAAGATTTATAAAAACAAAGCCACACTCCTTAATCCTTTCTTAACACTCCACCAAGGGGAAACCAAACATTCAAATACATCTATGAGCTTTGGGCACGATTCATATTCAAATCACCACATTCCAGGCAAGGACATGATCAGCTGGCCCTCGTGCTGAGAAACAGGTCCTTTTCCTTTCTGAATTTCACAGCTGAGCACACTGAAGTTCAGACAGATTAGTAACACCGTAGACGGCACAAAGTGAAACCAGGTCTTTAGTACAGGTCTTCCTCCACTGTTTTTATTACAGTGTGTTCTTAAATTTTGTCTTATAATTTATATACCTGAATTATCTTCTCAGCTGGATTGTAAGCACTTGGAGGTGTGATTTCAAAGGTCTCTGAATCTTTTTTTTTTTTTTTTTTGGTTTTTCGAGACAGTGTTTCTCTGTGGCTTTGGAGCCTGTCCTGGAACTAACTCTGTAGACCAGGCTGGTCTCGAACTCACAGAGATCCGCCTGCCTCTGCCTCCCGAGTGCTGGGATTAAAGGCGTGCGCCACCACCGCCCGGCTAGGTCTCTGAATCTTACTCAGTGCCTTGCAAACACAGATGCTCAATAAATGTTTATCTAAATGAATACCAAGGTCTCTGTTTTCAAACCTGCTTTCTTATGAGTTTCACAGTCCCACTTGTAGCATTCCTGTGCTTTCCAGTCCCAGCTCTTCCTTCTCCATTGCTCAAGAGACGCCACAAGCTGTGGTACAGTAACAAAGAGGCCTCCAGACAAAGGCCTGTGTCTCCTCTGAAGTGTAGCAATATGTCCATTCAGCCTGTACCACTTGGGACCCACACATCACCATGAAAGAGGAAAAAGCTGAAAGATATTTCTTTCGTCTAGGTGCCATTCTGACCACTTCTAGAGTCAGAATCCACCCCTGAAGGCTAGGAATACAAGCAGGCACCTTGGTATTTGCATAACACTAGAAGCCATGTTTTGCACATCACTTAGCTTGGTCTTTTCACATGGCCCCTTTCAGCCCATTATTTTAGATGTAAAATAGCTCTCTATTGAATAAAATATCTCTAGATATCTAAAATCTTCCTTAATACACTCCCTCATCACCAAACTTAAGGTCCTGCTTGTTTCAGGGTATTTGATCACACTGTGAAGCTCCAAGACTGTGTTAATAAAATTAACCACACACGACTATGAAGGGCTGGAGAAAAACAGTAACAGCCAAAGTACATTCTAGCGAACGGATCGGCCCAGATGCTACACTGACAGCTAACCTAATGTTCTCACAAGAGACGATCCTTGAGTTTGAGCTCCGCGTGTGGCACTCGGCCTCAAAGCCAGAATTGACATCACCCCCTGTACCATAGGTGATGCTTGCTACTTCTGTTCCTCCTCACCAAGTGGGCCAGAGCGGTTTTCCTGGTTGAAAGCAAACTGCAGGTTGCTTCCTATAACTGAAAGACCCTCAGAGTGGTCCTTCCCTCAGGAGGAGACCCCTAACACAGGGAACAGTCGAGACCACTGGCTGTAATTAGCAAGAGGTTTATTGGGTGGGCACAGGTACCTGTGGGTGGCAAAGTCTTTCGGAGGACTTGCGTGCCTGCAGGCTGGGAGAAGGTCTTTTTATAGGAAAAGGGTAGCAAAAGCAGGCATACAGAAGCAAAGCATGGTTACAGGGATCTCATTGGTCAGTTCGAATGAGGCGATGGGTTCATTTAGGGGACAAGTTCCCCGGAGACATGAAGGTCTGATAATAATAACAGACTTGGCCCTATCTAGGGTACATGTAGTTTTTCCCAGAACTGTTCGTTCCCCTCCTAGGCCTGGTATCTGACCACAGATATCCCATTTGACCACCTAGGAGTACTGACTTTACCTTGAACTTATATTTATTTGTGTGAAGGCTTTGCAAAATGGCATTACAGCAGCTAAGCTGGGGTCTTTCATAACCTCAAGCCCTGCGACCCAGAGAGCGCAAGGACAAGCATCCTGTCCGACCCAAATGGGAGACTAGGATCGGGGGCCCAGCGACTTCTCGCCTTCCTTGACCAGGAACTTCGCACACCAGAGAGAAAGCACCCTGCTTGCACGCGCTTACAGTCTGGGTTCCAGCGCTCACTTGCCAATATGCAACACAGTGCTGGGAAACAGCCAGCAATTCGTACAGCCGCCGCCATGCTGGAGCAGGAGCAACGACGCTGCCTGAGTCTGGGCCCGCCTTCCCCACTGCCTGCCGCAACAGGCTGTGACCGCGCCTCGTCAGACATTCGTTCTAGGCACAAAGAGAGGTGTTGAGACTCGAGGATCATCGTTCAGCGCACAAGGGGGCCGAGAAATTGTCCACACGGAACAAGAGGGAAATTGAGTCAGGTTCAGCAACGGACAGCTTCTCAGGGGTCCTCGCGCTAGGACCCAAGGCAGGAGCATGGAGAGGGCGTGGCTAACTCTATATCTTATATTACTAAGTAATGGCCAAATCTTTCAGGTCCAATCCAGGATTGGAGAGTCTTTGGAAAGCCCATTCTGCTGATCCAGGAAAAAGTCTGGGAACGAATTCAGGGAGTGAAGGAAAGAAAGTTTAGGAAGTTCATACATCATTCCAGGAAAGACCTAAAGTTTATTAAACTTTACGTTGCCTTTGATTTCAGACTCATTTTGTATTCGTGGTAGAGGTTGTATAAACACAGGGCCAGCCCTAGGCCATGGTTTTTATCTCTCCTGGTCATGGCTTTACACTATCCCTGCTTGCCCAAATGAACCACATATGATGGTCCTGGACTCTTCCTCTGAAAGGTGAGCCTCTGGCAAACTGTTTCTAGCCTGCCCTGGGTACAGTATTTTGCCAAGGCAATAGAGTAATGCAGGCTTTCGTCATTAACGTCTTCAGTTATCCTCCAAGGCTTCTGCCTTTCCTGAGGGGAATGGCTGTCACGCACGTATTGGCCACCTAATATCTTGGTGATGATTTGAAACACCCAGAGATCCTGGGAGAGTCCAAATGGCGGCTGATTGCTTGTGAGAGTGCCTTGGCTGCTTCTCAGGCATTTTCGGCATGGACTGGGAAAAGGCTTCAGTTCGTTCAGTGACGGTATCCATGAAGACCAAGAGGCATTTGAAGATTTGACAGGTGGGGAGCTCAAGGAACTACACCTTCCAAATCTGTCTTAGTGAAGAGGCCATGCCTGTGGGTGGTTACAAAAAGAGATCTTTCTGAAGCACATGGAGCCCCTGGGAACTCAGGAAAAGACTGACAGAGCCCCTTTCCTGAGAATAGGTGATTGTGTGTTTCTCCTAACTTTGTCTGACCGGCGAATCACGGAGCTACTTTACAAGCTTCTATTAAGTACTTGGAGAATATAGTTGATCTGTGTGCGGCCATCCTTCAGGATGACAGAGGAATCCTTTCACACTTGCCTTCTCCACTGCCTTAGGGACAGACTGACGCTTACAGAGTATCCATCAGGTTGATAGAGGCAAAAGGAGTCAACAAAAATTAGGCAGCAGGGCTTTAAGCTTGGCAGTCTAGTGACCAATTTATTCCCTCCTTTGACAAATGATTCATCCCTTTGGTGTCCCCTGTAGCAGATATGGAAACACTGGAGAGGTTTCGAGTGTGGGGCATGACAGACAAAATCTGCAGTCAATAGTGGATGGAACTTCTCTTGGAGTCCAGTAAATCTCTTTCCTTCCAGAGAGCAGAATGAACATGTAACACCAGGAAGGTACGTATTTGCTCAGGAGAAGAAGTTACTTCTTTGACAATTCTATGTTCTACTTAAGAAATACTTCTATACTATTGACTTGATAGCTAAAGAGATCAAATTTTTAGGAAGGAGTGTCCATGGTGGTGTGAGATCAAGGAGTCACTGTCAGTCCCTGGAGAGACTGGGGTCGTCTTGCGCTTCAGAGTGCGGTCATTTGGATAGGTATGATATGGACCATTTGTCACCATCCAATAGCCAAACTAGGACTGTTATTGATCCTGCTTTTCGACCATGTAATTGAAGGAGCCTGTCTGTCGTGGGAAGCCCCAGTGCTGGGGCTATCTTAAGGCTATCATAAGATGGTTTCTTGGTCCCTTGATTACAAGGGGTACGGATTTGGGACTCATTTCGCTTCTCAGAGATTTGACCTGGCTATTTTATTCAGTGCTGCAGATCATATTCTGCAGTACCCTGTTAGCTCCAGAAAAGCCCTAACATGTCTCTTATTTCAGAGAGGAGGTAAATCCAAATATCCTGGGGCCAAATGAAGATCCAGTAATTGACTTATGCGTCTCAAAGGTTGAGTCTTTCCCTAGAATCTTTGCATCCTTTTTGAGCTACAAAGTTTAAAGTGTTTACAGCCTGTTGTTTGCCTGGTGTCCTCTGAAGCAGTAGAAAGGAGGAGGTCATCCTCATACAGCATTATGGTTACAGAACTGAGGGGAATGCCCCAAGGTGCCACCCAAATCCAGAGTCTGACCAAAAGAGTGAGAACTAAGAATTCTCGAATAAAAACAGCAACAGGTATGTCGCTGAGCTCATGCATCGATCTGGGATAGTCCACTGAAAGGTGACCAAGAACTGGGAACCCTGACTTTCAGAAAAGACGGGCATGCTGGCAAACCAGCACCGGATTTATGCTGTCTTAGGGCCCTCCTCCCAGCTGCACTGCTGAAGTCCGCCTTAGAGGGACAGCTGGTCTCCAGGTTTAGGAGCACACACACAGGCAGCCAGGTCCCACAGCTTCAGTACCTCGGATCTGGAGTGCAAGCTTGGGTAGTTTCGTTTTGTTTCCAACGCGTCATCTTGAGGGCGCCGGCTGTCGAGACTTCTGGGAAATGGAGTCCCTGCGAAGGTGGCGCATTGATTCGGGGCCCATAGTCGGAAGACCGTCACGCAGGCGCACTGCCTTCCCGATCCCAGTCAGTGTGGCCTTACCCGGTACCCAGCGCGCTTACGGAAGGTGAGGACTGTGGGTCTAGGTCATCGAGACGACGAATGGACGCAGCTGCGGAGAGAAGGGAACCCTAGGGACTTGGGGGAGGATTCGTGGGCGTGACCTGGTGTGGCTAGCTTGCTCGTGATTCGTCCCGCCCAGTGTGCTTAGGTTCCTTAGGGCACAGACGCAGCTCCAGGTGTCCTTGTGGGTATGACCACTGTGTGTCAGAGTCCTGTACTTTGGAGGTCCCTGTCTGCGCCCTGTCTTCCTCCAGTTTCTTCTTTCCGTAATGGGTGCTTCATGAATGTAGGTGGTTACCGACCCTGAATCTAGGGGTGTCCACTCCACTCTCACAGTCCCCCAGATAACGTCTCATGTTGCATCTTTCGTTCCCTATCCTCATCCTGCGCAGGAATGTCCTGGTGCGAGAGTGTTCGTGGAGGAAGTCGGATTTGAGGTGAATTAAACCCCAAGGGAAATGCCAGATGGCTTTAGGCAGATTTGAGATGATTTTAATGAGAGTGCTCTGTCAAGGAGTAGTGGGAAATAAGGGTAAAGGAACTATGCGGACGCCAGACAAGCACCCCACCAAGCAGGGTATTGTGCGTTCTTAAATGAGATCAACATGAATGAAAATTTGGGGGAACAATTCTTGAGGTAACATTCGGACCATCACAAAGTCGTACTTCCCACCTTAAGACCCATCACCGACAGCCAGCATCTGTCTAGACGCCTGTGTTGAGCAGCTGTCTGTTACACGGCTGAAGCTGCTTGCAGTTTACCAGTGATCTTTCCCCTGGGTTTTTCTGTTGTTGTTGTGGTGTCAAGGCCACCCTCGACCCTCAAGGATGACGCGACCACCAGAGCTCTTCTCACTGCAGTTTATTCCAGGACTTTATTCACTTTCTCTCTCTCTTCCTTCCTCTCTCTCTTTTTCCTCTCTCCCTCTCTCCCCCCTCCCTTTCTTCTCTCTCCTCCCTCTCTCTCCTTCTTCTCCTCCCTCTCTTTTTTCTCTCTCCTCTTTCTTTTTCTCTCCTCTCTCTTTGACCTCTCTCCTTCCTTCCTTTCTCTCTCCTCCGGGCAAACCTCTCTCTTTCCCTTAAGTAGGCATGGGCTGCCAACCCTGAACTGCCAGGTGGGCACTGCCCATAGGTTCACGCATATGCAGGCAGCTGATAATCATTGCGTGATCATAGCATAGGTCAGGCCTTAGCCATCTCAGGAGTTGATTATACATCTCCATCAGGTGTGACACCACGCAGCTCGCTACATTGTTGTTGTTTGATTGATTGATTGTTTACCTTTGTTGCATTTAAGATGTGGTCTTGTTTTGTAGCTTACCCTAGTGATAAGCCTGTAGTCCTCCTGCCTCAGCCCGCCAAGTGCTGGCATTACAGGTGTATGTCGCCATACCTATGTTTTCCGTGAAACTTCAGTCATGCATATCAAGCTTCCCAAAATATTGGGATGTGTTACAGGATTTTCTATTTTATTCTAAAGATCTGCTTAACTTTGTGGCTAACTTCCAATGAAAGTAAATTATAATGTAGAATTTAAACCTTCCAGGCAGACATTTTCAAATTCTACCTCAGCCTTTTACAAAGCCTGGATGTCCTACTGTACCTCTCTTCTTGATGTGGAATTAAATTATCTCTATATGAGGGAAGAAGCAAATTATCCTGATTAAAAGCACCTAGTAAGAGTCTCATGAAAGCAAGGGCTCAGCAATACAAGTTAGGGTGATGTTAATGGTGCTCCATTGTGTGTCTAGCCTCTAGGCAATAAATTATTTAACTAAGTGTCCTGCTGTAAATGCTTAATAGAGTTCAAATTTTAGTTCCATTTTTTAAAGATTAAATAGGATCATTTGTGTACCGCTTAAGTTGGGAGAGTGATAACCTTGAATAAAGATGATGTTTTGGTGATGATGGTTAATTAAAAGCTTTGTAAGTCTTCTCTCATATTTCTAGAATAAATTCCTAGAGGATACTGGCCAGTCTGAGAGTGTCTGTGTTTGAAAGTCCTTGGGTCACAATGATCTTTCTAACGTGCATATCCAATGAGGACACAACTATGCTTAACACCCCCCCCCCCCCACACACACACACAGCTCCTTTTGATGTAGTTTGACCTCTACTGGTTTCTCCAGGCTGATCTTTTCTCCAGCGTTGCTCATGTTCTTATCTAATATCTGTAGTAATCCTTTATGTGATAGGATCTGCCTATTATTTCTACTCAGGCTTTCCCATGTTTATAATGTTGCTCATCCTTCACATCACAACTCAGATCCCAGTTGTGCCAAGAGCACTGCAGCGTTTCCCCCTCGGTCCTTCCCTGGGCGAGGGGAGCCTCCTCAAAGCCCTGCCAGCCTGCCCTGTATCTCTCTTTTAGGCACTATCCTGTAGTAAATGTTACTTTGTTTATTTATTCTGTGTATAAAGCTGTTGCCCCTGGAGGTCAGGGAAAGGGTCTTGCAGGATTTGTGCTTGATGTGGTTGGTACTAAATCAGTGCTGATAAGGTAAATGCTTGAGTCACAAGGAGCAGTGACATAGTGACTGCAATAATGTGCTCAGTGAGCCACAGATGCACATTTTCTCCTCCTTCCCTGAAGCACACGTACTGTCTCTCCACCCACCAGGAGTTCCTTAATTGCTTGCTTTCGCTGTTATTGTTAAACTTTTTTTAGGGGAAACAATTGAGGTGGTGTTTCCTGTGTAGCTTGGCCCAGCCTTGAAGTCAGTAGTAGTCTTGACTGACCCCGAACTTGCAGCAGTCCACCTTAAGTGCGGATCCGTACCAGATACAAATTTAGACTCTGCATTGTGAGAAGGTGAGATGCATTTAGCTAACTTATGCAAAGGGAGTTAGAAGACAATGAGTCTCCTGGAAACTCAAGGATAAGTAAAGCTGCAGTGTGTGGGAACTGGAACTCACTTCATCTAGAAACACTGTGAGCACCAGTGTTTCACCACTAAAGTGAGCTACATCCATTGGTTCTGTCTCCTGGTACCTCTGCTCCCTGGTCCCGGAGGCTACTTCAGTATCTCCTGATATCTTCTTTTTTTTTAAAATATTTATTTATTTATTATGTATACAATATTCTGTCTGCGTGTATTCCTATAGGCCAGAAGAGGGCACCAGACCTCATTACAGATGGTTGTGAGCCACCATGTGGTTGCTGGGAATTGAACTCAGGACCTTTGGAAGAGCAGGCAATGCTCTTAACCGCTGAGCCATCTCTCCAGCCCCTCCTGATATCTTCTTGACTCATCACTTGTATGTTGTCCTGACGCTTTAAATTCACGTTCACTAAGAAGGATGTCGTCTTTTCATACAAGACCATTTCTGCCAAAGTTTTCTCAACTGGATACAAACTTAGACATGCTTGGGAAAAGAGAATCTCAATTGAATTCCCACCATCAGCCTGTGAGCATGAGCATGTTTATGTGGGGCTGTATTCTATTCTCTCTCTCTCTCTCTCTCTCTCTGTTTCTCTCTTTCTCTGTCTCTCTTCGAAACAGGGTTTCCTCTCTGTTGCCATTGCTGTCCTGGAACTCACTATGTAGCCCAGGCTGGCCTTGAACTCTGCAAACTCATAGAGATCTGCTTGCCCCAGACTCTCAAGTGATGGGATTAAAGGCATGTGCCATCGCCCAGAGTAAGGGACATTTTCTTAATTGCCCATTCATACAGGAGGGTCTAGCCCACTGTGGATATTGCCATCCCTGTATATCTGGGCTGTATAAGAAAGTAGTCGAGGAAAAGCAAAACCCAGGATAGCCAAAACAATCCTGTACAATAAAAGAACTTCTGGAGGCATCACAATCCCTGATTTCAAACTCTACTACAGAGCTACAGTACTGAAAACATCCTGGTATTGGCAGAAGAACAGACAGGAGGACCAATGGAATTGAATAGAGGACTCGGATATTAATCCACACTTCTTCGAACACCTGATTTTTGATAAAGAAGCAAAAAATATCAAATGAAAAAAAGAAAGCATATTTAACAAGTGGTGCTGGCATAACTGGATATCAAAATGTAGAAGAATGAAAATAGACCCATATCTATCACTATGCACAAAACTCAAGTCCAAATGGATCAAAGATCTCAACATAAAGCCAGCCACATTGAACCTTATAAAAGAAGACGTGAGAAGTACACTTGAACGCATTGGCACAGGAGACCACTTCCTAAATAGAACCCCAGCAGCACAGACACAGAGAAACAATTAATAAATGGGACCTCCTGAAACTGAAAAGCTTCTGTAAATTAAAGGATACGGTCAACAAGACAAAACAGCAGCCTAGAGAATGGGTAAAGATCTTCACCAACCCCACATCAGACAGAGGTCTGATCTCCAAAATACACAAAGAATTCAAATTGGACACCAAAAGAACACATAATCCAATAAAAAAAAATGGGATACAGACCTAAAGAGAGAACCCTCAACAGAGGAATCTAAAATGGCTGAAAGACACTTAAGGAAATTCTCAACTTCCTTAGTCATCAGAGAAATGCAAATCAAAACAACTCTGAGATTCCATCTTACACTTGTAAGAATGGCCAAGATCAAAAACACTGATGACAACTTATGCTGGAGAGGTTGTGGGGAAAAGGGAACACTTCTGCATTGCTGGTGGGAATGCAAGCTGGTACAACCCCTTTGGATGTCAGTGTGGTGATTTCTCAGAAAATTAGGAAACAACCTTCCTCAAGACCCAGTCATATCACTTTTGGATATATATCCAAAGGATGCTCAATCGTGCCACAAGGACATGTGCTCAACTATGTTCATAGCAGCTTTGTTTGTCATTGCCAGAACCTGGAAACAACCTAAATGTCCCTCGACTGAAGAATGGATAAGGAAAGTGTGGTACATTTACACAATGGAATACTACACAGCAGAAAAAAATAATGACACCTTGAATTTTGCAGAAAAATGGATGGAGAGAGAAAAGTAACCCAGACACAGAAAGACAGTTATCACATGTACTCACTCATAGGTGGTTTTTAAACATAAAGCAGAGAAAATCATCCTACAAACCAAAATCCCAAGAATTTAGACAACAATGAGGACACTAAGAGAGACTTACATAGATCTAATCTACATGGGAGGTAGAAAGTAGAAAAAGACAAGATCTCCTGAGTAAATTGGGAGCATGGGGACCTTGAGGAAGGGTTGTAGGGGAGAGGGGAGGAGCAGGGAGGGGAGCAAAGAAAAATGTAGAGCTCAATAAATATCAATAATAAAAAAAAGAAAGTAGCTGAGCAAGCCAGTGATGAGTTATCTTCTACAGTCTCTGATTTGGTGTCTGCCTCCTGGCTCCTGCCTAGGTTTCCCTTGGTCATTTGTAAAGTTGTTTATGGTTTAAGTTCATTAACTCTTACTGTGCTCTGACTCCTGGGAACAGAGCTCTGCCCTGAAGATAACAGCACAACAGACACTGCTGTGCTTTTGATATTCATGGCATGGCTTTTTGCTCTAACTCTGAAAGGAACATGGAGTGTTCTTAAGATGGTGTTGGGAATGAAGGTAGCTACGTCTCTCACTGATACATAGAGAGGCCTTGCCACGTGGGTCAGAAGACCACAGGACTGGTCTTTCTCATACCTCTCTCCTTCCACACTATTTCCTCACTAGAATCCTGTTCTTCCCTCGCAGGACACCATAGGAGGGAATGGCTGCAGTGTCTCCACCTACTAGATGCCAGGTGAGGTGGACATTTCTATTTCTGAAATACTGTTATTAGTTTCCAAAATGTAGGCACTTCTTTCTTCATCCTGAGTGTCTTCCTTTAAGACCTTCCACCCCTAGGCTAATGAAGGGCTCCAAGGTAAGATGACCTTTAGCACTTTGAGCCCATGAGCTTACAAAAGCTGACAGAGCAGGGCTGCCTGGAGGAGTCTAGCATCAGTGGTTCCGTCCAAACTGTGCCTCTGGCAGCCAGTTGTGGGCTGAGAGTCAGTCCCTGTACGCCAAGGAGTGTTGGGTTAGGCTGGAGTCCATGGTGTGCTATAAAACACCCAGAGCCTGCCCCGGAAGAGACGAAACAGACCAGGAAGGCAAGGCTTGTAAGGGTGTGGTTGTGTTTGCAGCCTTCTGTGACATTTGAGGATGTGGCCGTGACTTTCACGGATGAAGAGTGGAGGCATCTGCTTCCTGTGCAGAGGGCGCTCTACAAGACTGTGATGCTGGAAAACTATGAGAACATCATCTCACTGGGTAAGGAGTCAGAACTTGTCCCAAAACGTGTGGGTCACAAGGGCAGGGGATGGCCACCTCTTTGACCCCCACCTGAGTTCAGAACCACGTGACAGACGAAAGGGCCAAAGGAGGTGGCTTTAGGTGCTTAGCTGGTGACCCCAGCCCTGGACAGCTGGAATGCCCTGATGTTAACGGCACTGGGAAACCACAGGTCTCCTTGTTCAGCAGCTTGCTTCCACCTGACAAGGCAGTCTGCAGGACAGGGCAGAGCACGTGTGTTGTGGGTAGGGATCTGGCTCCCCAGAGGCAGCCAGCAGAAGAGGTAATGTGTCAGGGTCTCTTGGCACACCAACTGGTGATGACTCAGTTCCATCAGGTAGACAGGAGCCATCTTGGTGAGAGGAGATATCGATCACTTCATGGAAGACGGATGAGGACAAAGAAGTGCCCCTGTGGAAAGGAAAAGGTCATCAGAGATGTGCTTGATTTTGAATGTTTGTCTTAATGACAACCTTAGATACCTATAAAGGCACTTTGTAATCAGACTTATGTGACAAGTGTGATGTGCAATATTGCACTCTTAGATTTTTGAGGGACCCACCACCAAGCTCCCAAATAAATCACACACAGAGGCTTATTCTTAGTTATTAATGCCCGGCCTTAGCTTGTTTCTTGCCAGATTTCCTTAACTTAAATTATCCCAACTACTTTCTGCCTCTAGGATTTTATCTTTTCCTTACTTCTGTGCATCTTACTTTCCGTCTTACTCCATGACTGCCTGGGTGGCTAGCTCCTGATGTCCTCCTCTCCTTGTTCTCTTCTCCATTTCCTCATTTCTCCTTCTATTTATACACTCTGTCTGCCAGCCCCTTGCCTTGCTATTGACTGTTCAGCTCTTTATTAAGCCATCAGGTGTTTTAGACACACAGCTTCACAGAGTTAAACAAAAGTCACACACCTGAAAATAATCTTCCCCAACAGGGAAAGTAAGAGCTTTTGTTCATGTCAGCTCTTAATGAAGTAAAGCAAAGTCCTTACAGGTAATAAGGAACACCCAAAAGCTTCCAGAATAAGAGGCTGAGGCCAAGCACAGTGGTTTGTACTTGTAGTCTTGGCCACTCTAGAAGCAGGGGCACACAGATGCAAAATCCAGTAACAGTCACATTCATGTTGCAGGTTTGTATTGAAAAGCCAACATTGGACTGAGGATGTAGCTAAGTGGTAGAGTATTTTCTAGCATCTGTAAGATCTTTAGTTTAATACATGGACACACACGCACACATCAGCACCTTCTGGATTAGCTTAATCAGGGATGTTAATTAGTTAATATCCAAACTGAAAAGATTGTTCAGTTGGCATCAAGGAAGATCCTGAGATTTTTTCGGGCTTTGGAAGAGAAGAAGCCACAGGAAAGGATGGGCGTGGTCACCTGCCAAAAGAGAACCAGCAAACACTGGACTGATGTTTCTCAGGCCCAGGAAGAACAAAGATCCTTACCTCCCCTATCTCCCAAGGCAGAACCTTGTCCACGGGGATGTTAGATAGAGCTCCGTGTTTCCAAGAGTGTGATCTAATTTTGTTCATTTGGCTATAGATATGAGTGGCTCTAGAAATTGATCCAAAGAATGTAATAAGGATTGCCGGTTCATACAGCATACCAGGAGATAGTTCCCATAGTATTGTGTGTTAATAGCAAAACATTAAAAATAGTAAAATGTGCTGGATGGTGGTGCCACATACCTTTAATCCCAGCACTGGAACAGAGGAGACGGGTGGAGTTCTGTGAGTTCTAGGCCAGCCTGGACTACAGAGAGAGTTCCAGGGCAGGCTCTAAAGCTACAAAGAAACCCTGTCTTTAAATAAAATAAATAAAGGACAGTCTGTCGGTAGGAATTTACTAAGTCATTTGTCCATATAATGTGCTAGACTATAGCTATTAAAACATTGTAGAAAATCTGTGCTAAATAAAATTAATGGTCTAAATTTACTGCATGAAATGAACTTCAGTTTGCAACTCAGTAGTGTTTCATTATCCAGCTTGGTTCTTATAACATTTCATTCCATTTTTTCTGTATTTACCTGGGGGAGATGCATGTGCAATAGCATGCATGTGGGGGGGGACAACTTGAGGGAGCTGGCTCTCTCCTTTAACACGTGGGTTTTAGGGCGTGAACCCAGCTTAGCAGGCTTGATTCACCCAGTCCCCCCCCCCCCATTATCCAGTCTCTGACAGAATCAAATGTAAGGTCCTCCCAGCATCAAAATTAAGTACACACAAGAAATACTAGCAGTAGGCATGAAAGATTTCCTCCAGTGAGCACAACCGACTTGTTCCCACGAAAGCATTCTACTGAGGATGAGCAGACAGATGACAGTGAGTTCCCTCCTTATGCTCTTTCAGGCAGGACGCTCCTTTTTCCTTCTCATTTCGTGAGCCAAAGGCCTCCATCCTGCCAGTGTCCAGACGGAAAGCTTCCCTATGCTGCCTATGAATTGATGTGGCTTTTGTGGGCTGCTCTGGTGCCTGGTGTTTGCCCTTTCAAGAGCCCCAGTGCTGACCTTCCCCAGAGGTGTCTTTGGTCTGTATTCTGTGTTTCTGAGAGTCTATACTTAGAGGCCAGGATTGAGTTTGGAGTGGTTCAGCATTGTCATCTCAGCAGCCTCCTGCCTTATGCTTTCTCCCTGAGCAGGGCTTCCTGTTCCTCGACCTGACGTGATTCTTCCATTTCTTCAGTTGAAGAGCAGGGCCGAGCCATGGACACAGGGGCTTCATGGATGTGAGGAGAAAGAATGGCCAGACAGTGTCTCTCTAGGTAACCAAATCTGAACAGAATGGGCAGAGTTTTGTTTGTTTCTGTTCTTGGGTGGACGAATGTTAGGGATCATCCTTGTCTCAAAGTCAAGTTGTGCGCCTGCATGTCTGTTTCCTATTGCACATCCGTTCTCTGGTTGCCCCTTCTCCACATTAAAGTAGGACTTACCTGCATTCACCAGCTTGTTTCTCAGGATTGTCACCTAGCCTGTGTACACCGCTAATATTTTTATTGGTCTCCCAGGTCTCTGCTCAGCCTACCCTATTGAAGCTATTGGCCCCACTCCCAGAGCCATTCTCCTGTTCTCTAAGAAGTCTGTTTCCACATTCCTTCCCTGCATCCTCCTTTACTCCCCAGCCGTAGGCTCTCCCAGAGTGTAAGCTCTCCGGGAAGTGATGCCCTGTGACCAAGTGTTCCATCTGTCATAGCGCCCCTCTCTTCTGTCATTGTCTCCCAGTCCAGAGAAGAAACTGCATCTGAGTTTTCTCTTTGTTGCAGACTGGGAGCCTAAGCCTGAGATCCTAAATGCTTCAGCAGGAACCCCGAGAGATAGCCGTAGAAGACAAAGTCCTCTGTGCACTAAACTGGAAGTTCAGACACTAGCAGGTGGGTTGGAACCAGCAAAGGGAAGTCCTGCAGCAGAGACTTGCAAGAAACGTCTTTCCTTGAACGGAAGCTTGCAGCGAAGGCCAGCCCTATCCAGGAAAGCCCTCGCTAAACACCAAGACCAGGAATGTAGTGACTGCGGGAAGACCTTCTTTGACCATTCGTCACTCCTCCGTCACCAGAGGACTCACACTGGAGAGAAGCCCTATGGCTGTCCTGAGTGTGGGAAGGCCTTCAGTCACAGGACCAGTCTCAGCAGACATCTGATGTCACACACAGGGGAGAGCCCCTATGAGTGCAGCGCCTGCGGCAAAGCCTTCTTTGACAGGTCGTCCCTCACTGTGCATCAGCGGGTGCACACGGGAGAGAAACCTTTCAAATGCAGCGAGTGTGGCAAAGCCTTCTTTGACAGGTCATCCCTTACTCGCCACCAGAGAATCCATACCGGGGAGAGTCCCTATGAATGTCAGCAGTGTGGCAAAGCCTTTAGCCAGAAGAGCATTCTCACTCGGCACCAGCTGATCCACACTGGCAGGAAACCATATAAATGCAGTGAGTGCGGAAGAGCGTTCTACGGGGTTTCCTCCCTTAACAGACACCAGAAGGCGCATGCTGGGGAGCCACACCATCAGTGCGACCAGTGTGGCAAAGCTTTCTTTGAACGTTCTTCTCTCACAAAGCACCAAAGGATACACACTGGAGAGAAGCCATATGAGTGCAGCGAGTGTGGGAAGGCCTTTAGCCAGAAGTGCCGGCTCACACTACATCAGAGAGTTCACACAGGGGAGAAACCCTTTGAGTGTAGTGTGTGTGGAAAAGAGTTCAGCTTCAAGTCTTCAGTTATTCAGCATCAGAGACGTTATGCCAAACAAGGGACAGACTGACCAAAGGAGAAGCATTAGCTACACAAAGGGCCTTCCATAAGTGTGCTAGGTCTCCATGTCCTCTACAAACCCTGCATTTGCTCCTTCTGTCTACTGTGGCTGCTGTCCTGTCCACCTCTGCTCCACAGGGTCTGAGTAGTCAACATACCTGCTGTGCTACAGAAAGAACTAGTGTGGAGTGCAGAAGCTAAAACCCGAATCTAGATTCAAAATCGTGGGCAGAACTTGCTGTAGCTCAGTGCTAGAATAGCGCCTAGTATACACGAGGCCCTCCCTGCTCCTCGACCCCAGCATGGCAGAATGTAGTTGGAGAGACTGTCAGCCACAGGATAAATGTTAGGAGGGGAACCCCAAGACATAACTCTATGAGAACATAGGCCCGTTGTCACTGCACTGAACTAGATGCAGGCTATTACAGGAGGGGAATATCACAATTATAGGAAAACACCATTTTCTCTAGAAGTTTCTATAGTTTTAGTCTTTGTGAAGCTTTTTGGCCTGCATACCTAGTTGTCTTTTGCCCTAGCATTTAGCCCTCCTGGTAGTAGTAGTAGTGCTAACACTTATTAAGAGCTTATCCTGGGGCAAATACTCAGCAGAGAATTGTAGCAGGGCGAGATTGACTGATCCTCTAACTAGTCCTTTTGTCTCTCACAGATGAGCACCATGAGGTTTGTTCAAGAGATTAAGGAATATATTCTAGGTGACACAAGGTGAAGCCAGGTGTCTTAGTTACTGTTCTTTTACTGTGTAGAGTCATACTGACCAGAGCAACCTATAAAATTATTAATTAATTAATTAATTAATTAATTATGGGCTTGCTTCCATTTCCAGAGAGTGAGTCTGTGGCAGGGAGCATGACAACAGATAGGAGAGCATGGAGCTGGAGCAGTAGCTGAGAGCTTACATCTGATCCACAGGTAGTTGGCCTAGAGATGGGGAGACACAGACAGACACACTGGTCTTGGCATGGGCTTTGGAAAATTCAAAGCTCATCTCCAGTAACACACCTCCTCGAACAAAGCCACACCCAGGCTACAGAGATGGCCTAGTGGTTAAGAGCATTGGCTGTTCTTCCAGAGGTCATTGGGAGTTTCATTCCTAGCAACCACATGGTGGCTCACAGCCTTCTGTAATGAGATCTGGTGCCCTCTTCTGGTGTGCAGGCATACATGCAGGCAGAACACATTATACATAGTAAATAAATAAATCTTTAAAAGAAAGATTTATAAACACAAAGCCACATCCTTTCTAAATGTCCCTAAATTTCTAATCCCTAATCTTTTCTAAACACTCCACCAAGTGGAAACCAAACATTCAAATACACCTATGAGCCTTGGGCACGATTCTCATTCAAATCACCACATTCCAGGCAAGGACATGATCAGCTGGCCCTCATGCTGAGAAACAGGTTTTTTTCCTTTCTGAATTTTACAGCTGAGCACACTGAAGTTCAGACAGATTAGTAACACCGTAGATGGCACAAGGTGAAACAGGGCTTTAGTACGGGTCTCCCTTCAATGTGTCTACTACAATGTGTTCTTAAATTTTGTCTTATAATTTATATACCTGAATTATCTTCTCAGCTGGATTGTAAGCACTTAGAAGTGTGATTTCAAAGGTCTCTGAATCTTACTCAGTGCCTTGCAAACACAGATGCTCAATAAATGTTTATCTAAATGAATAATACCAAGGTCTCTGTTTTCAAACCTGCTTTCTCGTGAGTTTCACAGTCCCACCTGTAGCATTCCTGTGCTCCCCAGTCCCAGCTCTTCCTTCTCCATTGCTCAAGAGACGCCACAAGCTGTGGTACAGTAACGAAGACGCCTCCAGACAAAGGCCTGTGTCACCTCTGATGTGTAGCAATCTGTCCATTCAGCCTGTACCACTTGGGACCCACACATCACCATGAAGAAGGAACATTGGCAGGGACTGGTGGGGACAGAGCCTGGGCCTCTGGAAGGTTAAGCGTGCACTCTGCCATAGAGCTACACCCATAGTGCCTCTGAGTTTTTATCTGTTTTAAAGTTCCATTTTAATCCATCTGTGGGTGTTTGGTAGACATACCCATGACGTCTTCTCAAATACAGCTGCCCTCATCTACCAGGATGTGTTCCAAGATGTTATGAGCACAAAGCCTCATGTAGTACCCTATCTTAGGCACATTATTATTATAACTTTTCTTTAGCATATGTCAATCCTTGATCTTTATCCCTGGAGCCATTATCTTTTCTTTTTTAAATTGAGCATATTTAAGTGCAATCTTTTCTCATTTTACATAGCTATCCCCATTTTCACTCCCTTCCTCCCACCCCACCCTCTCACCCCACTACCACATCCACTCCTCAGGAAGGATAAGGCTTCTCATGGGGCAACAACAAAAGACTGACACTTCATTTCCAGGCAAGACCAAGGCCCCCTCCCCATATTTAGACTGAGTAAGGTATCCCTCCAAAGAGCATGTGCTCCGAGACGCCAGTTCAAGCACTAGGAGTAAATCCTGGTACCACTGCCAGTGGCCCCACAGACTGTCCAAGCCTCTCAACTGTCCCCCACATTCAGTGGGCCTAGTTTGGTCTATGCAGGTTCCTCCTATCAGTCCAGAATCAGTGAGCTCTCACTAGCTGAGGTCAGCTATTTCTGTGCGTGTCACCATCATAGTCTTGACCACGTGGCTCATATTATCGTTCCTTCCTCTCTTGGACTGGACTCTGGTAGCTCGGCCCAGTGCTTGGCTGGTGATCTCTGTATCTGCTTCCATCAGTTGCTGGATGAAGGGTCTATGATGACAATTAAGGTAGTCACCAATCTGATTACAGGGGAAGGTCAGTTTAGGCATCTTCTTCACTGTTGCTTAGAGCCTTAGCTGGGATTTCCCTGTGGATTCCTGGAAATATCCCTAGTGCTAAGTTCAGAGGTTTTTATATAAAAAGGCAATAGTTTAGATAAAAGATTTCTGTAAGTGTGTCATTAGCTCGCCATTACAGCAACCCAAACTGGAAATGGCCCAAATGCCCATCACAGCATAATAGAAAACAAATTGCAGTGTGTTCATGCAGTGGGCTGTTAGTCAACAATAAAGGAATGAAACACCTTGCCGATCCAGAGAAAGATCCAGAGCCCGCAGCACAATGCTACATGGCTCCCATCACGGGATCCCTCGAAAGGAGGCTAAAGTGACGGACAATAACAGAAAGTAGGAAGTGCTGCGTCTTAGGGAAAGACTGGGAAAGGCAGTGAGATTTCTGAAGTGCTTCGAAAAGTAATTAAGAATCCAGAGTACGGCGGGGTCCACCTGCTCTCTTCTCATTTGGGATGCCGGGGCAGCATTGTGAGTTTGAGGCCAGAGGATTCTAAACAGGGGCTCTGATTCAAATAATAATATAGGAATATCAATAGCCTAGTAAAGGCCCACGAGTAGTTTAACATCGGGGTAACTGGAGCTGCCTGCACACTAATGGGCTCCTGGGGCTCTGCTTTGGTTTCCTGGATTCCAAGTCCTAAGGATTTCCATGTAGTTCTCATAATCGTCACCAGGTGGCAGTGTGTCTCAGTCAATCAAATTCCTGGGGCAGCTCCATGGAGATCCTTGCCTCTCTCTACACAGCTAAGCCAGGCTGTTGACATTGTCTTATCAGTCACTTTTGAGTAGACCACATTATTCACCCCGACTACCTATTTAACCTACCAGGCTCAGTGGAAAGTGACGTATATGTTTGTCTAGGATGCGTCTGTGACTCTGTTGCAGGAACCCAAGGTCCCTGCTGAGGACTGAACAATAGCAGAATTCAAACACTGCAGTGGCATGACCTTCCTCCTGGTAGGTGACACATGCGCAGCACAGTACCCTGTGGGAAGGTTCAGAAAAGCAGAGGGGACACCTTCTGCAGCCAAGTACAGCGGCACCTTATGACCTCAGCTCCCCCGGAAGCAATGGTAGGAGGATCATAAGATCAAGACCAGCCTGCCCTATAGAAATAGTCCAGCGCCAACCTGGGCAATCTACTGAGCCCCTGAATCATTTTTTTTAAAACGTTAGAAAGGGTCTGTCCATGTAACTCAGTGGTGGAGTACTTGCCTAGAGTGGCCATGTGCTCAAGGGCTTCTAAAGCATTGATGGCTGCCTGCACACCTGCACAAGGCCGGCCCCCAACCTTCCATCGTGAATGGGGGAAGGGCTCATGAAGTCCTCGACTGCTCAGAGGAGCCACAAGGAGTTAATGGTTACTAGGAGACGGGAAGTCATAGTCCTTAGTGGTAAGGTTGTCCTTCTTCAAGTAAATGTCCCCACCAGCCACACTCATGGAGGCAACAGCAATTAAATGCGATGGGGCACACACAAGGACGGTAGAGTGGAAAGAAGGGAGACAGTTTAGGAGGGAGAAGGAGAAGAGAGGATGATGGAGGGAGGAATAGGATCTAGGTACAGTGTGTGGGGGATTAGAATATTAGTTTAAGAAGTGCTATGATTGTTTATGCTGTGGAGTATTTGTTTAAGGATGTCAAGATGTGTTGCGTTCTTTTATGTTGCATTTGTTTAACTCTGTGAAGCTGTGCTACTTTGCCTGCCTAAAACACCTGATTGGTCTAATAAAGAGTTGAATGGCCAATAAGTAGGCAGGAGAGAGAAACAGGTGCGGCTGGCAGGCAGAGAGAATAAAATGAGGAGGGTGAGTGAGAAAGGGAGGAGAGGACACCAGGGACAGCCACACAGCCACACAGCCACACAGTCACACAGCCTCACAGTCACCCAGTCACACAGTCACACAGTCACACAGTCACACAGCCTCACAGTCACCCAGTCACACAGTCACACAGTCACACAGACACACAGTCACCCATTCACACAGTCACAGTCACACAGCCTCACAATCACACAGCCACACAATCACACAGCCACACAGTCACACAGTCACACAGTCACCCAGTCACACAGTCACCCAGTCACAGTCACACAGCCTCACAATCACACAGCCACACAATCACACAGCCACACAGTCACACAGTCACACAGTCACACAGTCACACAGCCTCACAGCCACACAGCCACACAGTCACACAGCCACACAGCCACACAGCCTCACAGCCACACAGTCACACAGTCACACAGTCACACAGCCTCACAGCCACACAGTCACACATCCACACAGTCACACAGTCACACAGTCACACAGTCACACAGCCAGCCAGTCACACAGTCACACAGCCTCACAGCCACACAGTCACACAGTCACACAGTCACACAGCCACACAGCCACACAGTCACACAGTCTCACAGCCACACAGTCACACAGTCACACAGTCACATAGCCACACAGCCACACAGTCACACAGTCACCCAGCCACACGGTCACACGGTCACACGGTCACACAGTCACACAGTCACACAGTCACACAGTCACACAGCCACACAGTCACACAGTCACACAGTCACACAGTCACACAGTCACACAGCCTCACAGCCACACAGTCACACAGTCACACAGTCACACAGCCACACAGCCACACAGTCACACAGTCACACAGTCACACAGTCACACAGTCACACAGCCTCACAGCCACACAGTCACACAGTCACACAGTCACATAGCCACACAGCCACACAGTCACACAGTCACACAGTCACCCAGCCACACAGTCACACAGTCACACGGTCACACGGTCACACAGTCACACAGTCACCCAGCCACACAGTCACACAGTCACACAGTCACCCAGCCACACAGTCACACAGTCACACAGTCACACAGTCACACAGTCACATAGCCACACAGCCACACAGCCAGCCAGTCTATATATCTTGCTTTCCATCTTACTCCATGTGTGGCTGGGTGACTGGCTGGCTGTGTGGCTGTCTGGCTGGGTGACTGGCTGGCTGTGTGATTGGTTGGCTGTGTGACTGGTTGGCTGGGTGGCTGTGTGGCTGGGTGACTGGCTGGCTGTGTGATTGACTGGCTGTGTGACTGGTTGGCTGGGTGTCTTTGACACTTTTTCCTGCTCTTGGGACCCTTTTCCTCCTAGTGGGTTGCCTGATCCAGCCTTGATATTAGGGTTTGTGTCTGTTCTTGCTGCATCTTGTTATGACATGTTCTGTTGATATCCTTGGGTGGCCTGCTCTTTACCAAAGGGAAATGGAGGAGCAGTGGATCTGGAGGAAGGGAAAGGTGGAATAAGTATGTAGGGACTATTGGTATCTCGATTTTAAGGCAAAGAAACAGATAGCCAGGGTTCTCTGGGTCCAGTATCAGGGCAGCTGACAGGGTCACACTCAGGGGAGAAAGATCTGAGATGCTTCTGTTTAGTGGCTGAGAAGACAAAATGATACGAAATCGCCATCAGTGTTTGTGTTCCATTCCTTTATAACTCTGAAGGTCCCCAGTTCAGCAGTCCTCTGCCCCCAGGTGCATGCTGACCAGTGAGTCAGGCCTTCCAGGCCAGCCACAGCAACACAAGACCGGTGCGTGTGTGTGTGTGTGTGTGTGTGTGTGTGTGTGTGTGTGTGTTTGGGGGGGTCCTTCTGTCTATGTGTTGCTTTTATTGGTTAGTGAATAAAGAACTGCTTTGAGCCTATGGCAGGGAAGAACAGAACTAGGCAGAGAAAGCTAGGCTGTATGCTGGGAGAAAGAGGGCAGAATCAGAGAGACACCATAGAGACAGAAGCCAG